TCTACCTACCGTCGAGTTGGTACGAAACGGGTTAGGTAAGTTAAAAACCCTTACGTTCCGTACCTAGTGTGTGTGTGTGTGTGTGTGCGCGCGCGTGTGTGTGTGTGTGTGTGTGTGTGTGTGTGTGTGTGTGTGTGTGTGTGTGTGCGTGCGTGCGTGCGTGCGTGTGTGTGTGTGTGTGTGTGTATGTGTGTGTGTATGACACTGTGTGTGTGTGTGCGCGCGCGCGCCGTGGGTCCATTCAGACAAAAACAGATGTAACGCACTTTTAAACAGAAAGAATATTTGTGAAAGAATAAGTAGGCCTAAGTAAGGGTAAAGAATATGGGTAATAGTTTCATTTACGTCTGATGAAATGAAAGTAACATTTCAGTAAACAGAAAACGCGAACAGTAAAATAGAATATGACTCATATTACAGTATTTGTTTTCTATGTTTTATATTTTACACAAACGTAAAGCGTGTATGTTCTATATTGAATTTTCATATCATTTCACCTTGTGTTGTGTTTGCATCAAACAGACTTGTTAGTGATTTTTTATCGCATCTTGCTGTGGTGTATCCAGCATAGGGCGGAGCCGGCGTAAGCCTCCCCCCCCCCCCGTTTGCAAGCCCAGAAAAAATCAATAAAACACACTTTTTAGTAGCAGTGGGTCTTCAGGGGTCACGTCAGACTGAACGCCCTCCTGCTTCTGTTGCTCCACAAGGACCTCCCTTTGCAAATGGATAAGGTGGTCAACATCTTCATCAGAAGGAAGCCTCAAAGGTTGCTATTGGCAAACCCAATGGGGGACGCTTAAGGTCCCGAACACACAATCATGACATCAACATCTCAGTGGCAATTATCAGTAGGCCTAATTGTCACACTGACTTCTCACACTGACCTGTGCACCAATCGGAGCTGATCATCAACATGATCAAGTGTGTTTCCTTTTTAGTGCCATTAAACATGAAGGACTTATTACGTTATCTTGTGTTGCAATTCTTACCTGTGTTTTAATACATGTATTATTACTATAGTAACCTAACCTCAGGTGTGTTACTGTACGCTTTCTGGAAAGTCATGAAGTGTTTTCAATACTAAATTGTAGGGTTGAGTCTAGGATTGAGATAGTGTCATCAGACATCAGAATATGGCCCACAGTATGCCTCAGATAGCAGGAAAATGGTTTAAATATTTCCAAAAATTTTGGGGTATCATGCCCCCGACCCCTCTATCGCTGGCGTGCATACCGCGCGCGGGGCTGCCCGCGGCAGCCCAGATACATTTCGCTCCCCTGTTCATCAATTTCTGGATACGCCACTGTCTTGTTAGTAACTAGAGGCTACTAAAGGATTGGTCGCGTTTAATATTTTTCATGATATGTAATTGATGTATTATTAAAAATCGTTATGCTTATTGTCAAAGGAACGCCGCAATGCTATCATGCTCGTCTGATGATTTGTATTTGCCTTATCGATAGAGAAATTATGGTAAAACACGGCCCAGTAGCAAACCATTATTAACGAACCGCTAGAGGGCGGGTGAAGGCAAATCTATACCCGGTGTCGTCTCTAGACATGGTTCTGATGCTAACATGCAATGCTCGCAGGCCTCTCGGTTAGGCAGTAGATATAAACAATGTCTTTTTAAGCGGTCTTTCGATGATATTTTGATGGACTTGCGCGAAGATCGGTGCATAAATAAGGAAATCTATGAAATCCACCACACCGCGGCCATAAGGATCTAGTTTCTTCATCATCTGTAGCAATGATAAAAACTGTTAATCTTAGACAAATCGTATGAGCAGCGTGTGAGGGTTCGTACGTGTGAGCGTTTGTACGTGTGAGCGTTCGTACGTGTGAGGGTTCGTACGTATGAGCGTTCGTACGTGTGAGCGTCCGTACGTGTGAGCGTTCGTGCGTGAAGTTTGGTTATTCATAAGCATAATTAATTATGACTTCTCACCTCGTGACATTCGATGAAATCACTTATTATGTTACCATTGTGCAACTGTTGATCGAACAAATTTGCAAGGAAAACAGGCAGGGTGTTGTAATGACTTACATCGTTGGCGAGTTCATCGGGTATGCTACCGGCTTGTAACTCCGTATCGAGTGCGTGTGATCTCACCTGCCACCTAGCAATCTCGAAATCTTCATCATCGGCGATTAGTTCGAACAAGTCCTGTCAATATATGCGTGTTAGCAGCAGAGTAATAGCTGCGGCATGAGCCAGCCTGCAGTGCCTCAACGATCTTCGCACCCAGGTTTTACCTCCAGGATTTTACGATTTTCGTTGAACTTAAGTTTTATCAACAATTAAGTTACATTACATCAACAGCTAATAATTAGTCAAGAGCTTATAGGCATTATTAGTTCTTGATTACATAATAGTCTATGGGGGCTTGTTTTTGTAATGAAACAATTTTGTACTGAATAATAATATACGATAGCTCGGAAATGAAAATAGATAACGAAAGCACTGCCGGCTTTATTTTGAACCAAAATGGTTGTCGTGGCGACTTCGGCGTTATTACGGACCGTATGCGAATCGGAATGTCTCTGTGATGAAGGCGATATGCTTACAATCTGGTGTACCGTGCCACCCTCTGGTTATAGGAGGTCCTGACCGTTTTTACGCAGAAAACGACGAGAAAGAAGTCTAAAAGCCATGCTTGCTATAACAGGGCATGCTCTGATTTGTGGAAAAATATTTGCTCCGATTAGTAGTGATATCCTTAAACAGTTAATAGGCCAATAACACCATAATCATAAAATACACAATGATGAATTATACAAACGGATGCAATCTCGCTCAGTATTTGAGCTAGCCCTTACTCATTTCCGTACCTTGTATTTTCTTACGAGCATGGTTAGCAAACAGCTAGATGTCTTGGTAACGCCCCGAAGTGGATAACTGCGAAGTAGCACGAGAAAAGACAACTATTTAAACTAGTTTTTCTTACTATCAGAGTAAATAGTAACTATATGGTAATGCGTTCCAGAAAAACGCTCGTACCGCGATCATTCATAACGTGAATTACGTTTTCCCACCGACTGCCATCACATCATCGGAGATGCATTCATTCGA